GGTAGTGATTTGCTAATGAGACTTTTTTTAAGGCAAAAGGCCATTTTCTGAGCACCTGCAGGAGCTCAGTGCAAGTTGCTGCCACATACAGAGCTGAGATGTTGTCCCTCAGAGAGGCAGATTAACTGCAGTGCGAAGTGGTACGATGCGCAGTGCCTGTAGGAGGTGGTGGGAGCTGGTTGGTAGTCAGCTGTTTGGCTTGCTCTCCTTTCTGCTGATTTCCTGCAAGCGGAAGGGTGAGCAGCATCTGGCCTCGGTGCAAAGCAGAGGATCCCAGCTCTCCCTGGCCTGGGAAGCCAGCAGGAGCTGAGGACTGCTGCCTTCAGACAGGCGAGTTACCACCCGCCAGTCCGCCCTTCTGCCTGCTGCTGCCTTGCCGCACTTCGGCAGACGTGAACGAGATCTCCCCAGTAAGAGGAGTTTCTCATTCTCCGCAGGCTGTTGGCGGCTTGAGGTTCCCCTTTGCAGGAGCGGACAGGATTCCCACTTGGGGACTTCCTGGTTGGTCCCTGTGTTTGCAGCCGTGATACCTGTCACATTGTTTGAGCCAGGTCTGAGATGCGAGTGTTGTGAGCTGGCAGGCGTTAGCACATGGGCAACGTCCTCTGCCAAACCGCTGCTCAGTCAGCCGTGGTTGCACTGCACGTAATCGGAGTCGTGTGATCAAGGGATTGCTTTCTTGCTTTGGGGAACTTCTGGCCATGCACTGTTTTCTTCCTTCATCCTTGATTATCTTTGTCCTCTGAGGGGGGTTAATCTGAGTGCTTTATTTTGGCAGCTTCTTCACCTTCTCTTTTTCATCACAGCGAGGCCATAATGCTCACCTAGTTTATCATTGTTTTTCTTCTTCTAGTGCCTTTCTTGCACTGAAGCATTGGAGGAGCTGTGGTAGCATATATCCAACTGTTTCCCTCAGTTCCCATTAGTACCTTCTGAACTGAGTAAATACCTTCACATATGATCTCAACTTGATGAAAGAAAAGCTTCTTTTTTAGTTTAAAACTTAGCTTCCTTGGTAAGGACCTGGGATTTCAGGAGTGTTGCAGCAGATGAACCTGTGTGGCTCAGGGATGGAGTAAATAAGTCATCTAATGGGCTTCTTCCACTGTCAGCATCTACAATACCACGATTTTTTTGCATCTACACTTGAGGGCTTGTTGTACACTTGTGATTTTGTTGCCCTTTATGGGAGTAGTCATTACTCAGCTTTACTAAGCTTGAACAGGCTGGGCTCACCATGGTAAGGCTGTGGCCATCTTCTCAGCACTTCCCTTCCTGCTCCTCATAGGTTTTCCCCCTTCTTGCTGTGCAGATGAACCTTGAGGTTATCCTGTGATCATCTTGAGCGACTGCTGATCACCGGTTTCCAGGAGCAGAGATCTGTGTGCTCATCTGTGATGGAAAAAAAAACTAAACCAAGCTTAGTTACCTGTAACTGGAATTCTTCAGCCCTCTGAATATACGGTCTCCAGAGAGGTTTGCTCCCCGTCTCTGGCTCCACTTCAAAGTGCAGTCTGGGCCAGGGGCCAGGGGATTGATAAAGCATTTTAAATAGTAACCGCTGTAGCTGATTTCAGAGCCCTCTCCTGGCTTTTTTCAGACAGTGCAGCCATTAACAGCCGCACATCTTTTGGCAGGGTGCTGAGCCATGCACCATGATGTCAGACTTAATGCTTTTGGAGGCAGTATATTCAGAAAGTCAGGTTATACAGAACTTTTGTTGGCTTTCTGCTATCTGTGTTTTGCCATTCAATACATCCCTGAGATGTGATTGCTTCTTGTTTGCCCCATGTTTTTGTGTGCTCTTTCATAATCTTCTTACATTATAAGCAGCAGGTAATACTGCTGCCTATTAAGCTCTTTTCTATGTGAATGCAGTTAAATATTTTTTGTGTTGATTATATCACAATTTAGAAGGAATTTTTGTGAAACGAATTTAGAAGGAATTTTTGTGAAATGAGAAAGCTTTTTACAAAAGTCCAAACCATGAAATTTCAGCTTAACCAGGCTAGCCAGGCAACAGCTTTCATCTGTGACCATTTGGTCGTGACTTTTTGAGGAGCCATGACCAAACCTCTGATTTTAACAGGCACTCCTCATTGTGGCTTCTGTTGCCATGCTGTCCCACTTCTTCATGCAAAGAAGTGGCTAAACATCAGCATTTCCATCTGCAGTCAGTTCTGGGCACTTACTGCTCCAAGTCTCCAAATGCTGACCAGGATTTACTTGGACAGCGATTCTCAAAGGGAAATATTTTTATACCCATCCATCCTTTTACAGATGGTTGAGCAGAAGCAAAGGGAGTTAGGGGAATCCAGCTCAGTTCAGTGTAAATCCAGAATTTAGATCCTCAGAAGTCCTGTTTAGCTGTCACAGCTGTCTAAGAAGCTGGCGTTAGAGAGTTTCACAGACACCTAGAAGTTTTCTGCTGGAAACATGTCTTGGCAGGGCTAACTGGTGTCTGTCCAGAAGACATGCTCAGAGCATGCCTGTCTGTCAGCCCACATGCATGCGGCCATGACCTCGGCCTTTTTTTCAAGAGGGACAGGCATGTGGCACTTGGGGGACGGACTGCAACCTCAGCCCCCCCGCCACCTCCCTGGGGAAGGGCTGGGTAACTGCATCTGCTCCCACTTGCTTGTACTCTGCCCAGTCAACCTTGCCTTCACTGTGTTCATGCAATGTGAAACGGCCCCAAAGGGAGCACCCCAAGTACAAAGATGGGTCATATGCTCAGGCATTCCCACTCTGGAGGGCAGCGGGTTTGACTGCCTTCGTTGGAGCATGTGATTGAACCTAAATTACCTGCATCCTGGAGGAGTCCTTTAACCACTTAGCCGTGGTATAAAAGGGGAAGAGCATCGTCTTCTCCCTTGTCCTAAGACAGTATTTTGAAAGAAAGAGCCCTTGTTTGTCTGAAATAAGGCTTATTTTCTGAAAGACGAGGCATAGGTCCCTATGATAGGAAAGGGATCAATGGAAGAAGGTGTCTCCATCCAACCCTCCGTGAGGCATCTTCTTCCCAAGTGTGTTGCATCCCTCTGTCCTCCAAAATTCCTAGGGGGTCCCATTCTGAGGCCGAATTCCTGTGCTACCCAGGAAGCCTCTCCTCCTAAATCATCACCTTCAGTTTTGCTGTGGGCAGCTTGGTCGGCAGGTCACGTCCGACACTGTTATGCTCCATGCTCATTAAGGCCACCGCCTGGATATAGCAGGAGCGTTTGAGCTCAAGTCAGTGCTGAGTCAATTCCAGTGGCACACTCAGAGCTGCTCTTTCCATATGTGGCTTATTCTTTCCACAAAGAAATATGCCCCTTGAAATGAACGACTGTGGGCAAATCTTTGTAGCAGCTGGGACTGAACTGAGATAGAGGGTTTGACCTACTGCAGTAAAGTGAACGGAGTTTGACTTTATGAAAAGTTCACAGCAGATATATTACTGATTTCACTGAAAATGAAAGTGCTTTGGCTGAGCTTTTTATCGCAGGGCATCATCTGTACTTATGCAGTGTTTCACTGGATGGTGCTATATGTTACTGATGGAATCAGGCAGGAACTTTGAGTTTGTAATTGGCAGAACCACAGTCTTCAAAGCCACTGTGGTGGGTTTTGGCCTTTTTCCTTCCCCCGGCTCCTTGTGAAGTGTCCTGTGATCCTGGAACTTAATATTGCAAGCTGGAAGGGCTCCAGGGTCAGTTTTGAAGACCTCTTATTTCTAAACCTCCTATTTTTTTTAAGGCATAGTCCCACCATCCACTACCCCCAGAGTAGATCACATAAGAACGTGTTTTACTGTAGTTAGAACTGCTCAACATGAAAGCTTACTAAGGAATGCTTATACTAAAAATCGCTCAGACAGTCCTCTTGTATTGCCATTTAGATCTATCATTCTGATTGATCACTATGTGGTTGGCTAATATTGAGCCTAATTTAACCCTATACACTCACGCATCCATCTATTCTGTCTATTGTACCTGACATTCTACAAATTACTTACTCATGCAAATGATGACCTAAGGCAACCTTTTATGATATTCGTGTTTAATTATACAAATGGTTTTTGATAAATAAGATTATACATCCTTCCATATGTTTATTCACTCCTTGATGAAAGCAAAATTTAATTTTCATGCAGATTTGTTGGAGAGTGTGTTTAATAAGTGCTGAGTTTTATGTAGTCTGCAGATCACTCTGGGTTTGGGAAGCTGACAAAATCAGTAGGCATAGTTCATAGACACATGTGGTTTTTAATCAGGCCTAATTCAAGCTGCTAAATTTTGAAATCTTGGAACTGAAGCCATTGCCTTTGTGCTCATGCAATAAAGCAAATGTTGTGAAAATAAATGAGATATGCTGACTTAACTATGAATTTCAATGGGCTTTATTTATATTATGGGTTACTGAAAATGTTGCCAAATGACTGACACATGACTATTTTTAAGAGAGGGATGTTCCTGTAAAACTTTCTGGTTTTAAAGAGTAACTAGAGTTTGGCTTTTGCTGTTCAGCCAAGGTGAATGTAACTTAAGTGTCACACAGTGCCAGGCTGAATGCATCGGGGCTGCTTGCATACATGAAGAAAGTGTGTAGAAGGGAGAAATTAGCAGGACTAGATGTCAGTATTTTTGTTCAGATGTCTTTGAAAACATTATCGCTGTTGATCACAGCTTCCCAAGGAGTCCTCTTTGCATGGTATGACACAGGCAGTGGTGGGAATTCAAAGTTTGGAGATCAGGTATGAAGATGACACACGAACACACCCTGCCTGAGACATGAAATCTGCTTCTTTTCTCTAAATGTAGCAGTGGGACTTCTGGTAGAAAGTCACTGGGTCAACACCAGCGCTGGGCAGCAGTCAAGGGACATTTTGCATGGGTGTCATTGCGTTGCGTTTCTCTCAATGTCAGTACAGATGCAGTAGCGTCCCTGGCTAACCGTGGGTGTTTTGTAGCCTTGAGTCCTTCGCTAACAGTTTCTCTGGTTTTGTGTGCCCAAGGTGTGGTCAGTAAACTCAGCAGGCCGGATGCCGAGCGGCTGGTCCCGCTGCCGGACGGGCCCTGCCCCTCCTGAGGGCCTGGGAGCTCCCCTCTTCGACACGGTAGCGTCCACAGTGGCTGTGGTGACCATTAGCCCCCCTCTGAAGCCTAACGGGGTGGTCAGTATCTACAGGCTGTTTTCTAATGATACCAGAGGGACTGATGTGGTGGTGAGTATGGCCAACACTGCTTTTGTAGTTCTGTTTGAGCTTGTATTTCCTAGCTTTAACAATTTTGTTCTTACAAGCTGCTACTGTTGGTTACAGACTGTCTTCCCCTCCTACGCTCCCATTGTTAACTGCTCTGCGATACTCTCTTCTGGCTAAAGCTCATCTAAATGTGCTTCTCAAGGAACTAACCTCATCAATAAACACTTCTGATGTGGTGATGTACTGTGACAATGTGATGGGAATCAGAAGCATTGTTCAGGGGTGGCTAACCTTCCAAACAAAACACTTCCAGACAGCTCCCACTAGTCCAAATGGTGCAGGTGGAAACTGGAGCCATTAAGAAATGATTGCGTGCTTTGGATAGCCTATGGATACGCATTTCAGAAGAAAGTGCTGTACATGAGCTTCCCTTAAAATCTTTCTCGTTAGTAAGAAGTATTTCATGGTAAATCACTAAAGAATAGCACAAGTAGCCAAGCAACTTCTGTGTTTGGTGTCTCAGCCTAAGCACCAATAGGTGTCCAGAAATGACTGGTCTCAGCTTAGGAAACCTGCAGGGCTTCGTCAGAGTTACAAAACAGGGAGATGTGGGGAAAGGTTAAGGCTGTGGAAGGTGCCTGGAACAGTTACCACCAAATCAGTGCAAAATACTTGAATACTTTTTGTCTGTAACACTATCTGTTTGTTTTTCACAAGTAGGTAAATATTTGTATGGGCTTTTTTCCCTTATCCCATCTTGCTCAGCTTGGAAGTGCTAGGGACACCTTCCCAGGTCATCAATCCTGTCTGTGAGCTTAAGCTGTCTACTGATTGCACATTGCGCATTTATTCCTTCCAGCGCAATTGGCCCTGTCCATGTCTGATTCAGCCAGTTCATCTTGTTGGTGCCTGCATGGCCCTCCATTTCTATCGCCTCACACCTGCCATGCTGCTGGCTCATCTCTGGCTCTGGCATCAAGAAGTATCAAGTGCTTTCCTTTGCTTGCTTGACTCTTTCCTTCCTATTTTTTTGTTGCATTCTGCTAAATCATATGCTGCCAAATGGGAGCAGATGTTGCCCCTCGTTGGTGTTTTCTACATATTTTTATTTCTTTGGCTTAAGAAGCTATACCCACAAATGACTACAGCAACGAGGTGAAACAGCAGTTCCTGCAAGCAATTTCAGAATGAGCGTACCGTTTCCTTTACCAGGACTGCCAGGTCTCCCTTGCTGAGCATAGGAGAGTTTCCTAACGGGTTCACCCAGCGCCATGGCCATTTGAATGCAGAGCAGCATCATGTTGGTCCTCAACTTAGAGGTACCTACCAGAAAGCACATTCTCCTGTCTAAGTAAACTGACCCACCAGACACATTTGTATCGCTCTGCCCAGTGCTGTCTCCTATAGCCACATTGAGAAAGTTTGTGAGATATGCATGAGTATTTGCTAGCACATTTATCACCGAGCTTTTTCCACAGTAATTTCTTTTTGCTTCAGTACCACTTATCCCAGAGTTTTTCTTAAAGGTTTTCTGTTTCTCTGTTCCTGAGAATGACATTTGCAAGTTGACATACAGTGGTCACAGCTCAACTCAAGACGTCTGTGAGGCCACTGATGGAATTGTCTTTCCCTTTAAATGGTGCCCTTTAACTTCATAATGGGAGAAAAATGAATGCACAGTTCCCAGTACACAACAGCTGCATTAATGTCAGATTTAAAGGACATGCAGAAACTTGTGCCCATCTTCTTCTGGAGTTTATTCACCTCCATAACTCTTATTTAGTACTTGTGGTGCTTGAAGCTGTGACAACTTCCCTGTTAATTTTTATAGCTGTCAGAAGGAACTGCCACCCAGCAGACAATACATGGGCTAAAACCTTTTACCACATACTCCATTGGTGTGGAGGCCTGCACCTGTTTCAACTGTTGCAGCAAAGGACCCATGGCCCAAATCACCACGCAGCCGGCTCCTCCCTCAGAGCAGCCCCCCCCGCAGATCCGCACTGTGACCTCCAGGAACGCCTCTTTCCAATGGAGTGCCCCTCAGTCACCCAACGGCATCGTGACCAGGTAGGAGAGGCCACCCAGCTGAACCTGCCCACCTCGGCTAGGGGTGGTGGCAGAACAGTTTTGCTGGACGTAAGCTGGAATCGCACAGCTGAGAGCACTGGATGGTTTGTGCAGCCATGCTCCTCCTTCCCGTGATGGTGGTGATATCCCATCTGGCCTAAATACCATCTGGGATGTGTTTACACACAACAATTGCTTTTCTCCTGAGCAGGATATCAGGGGGAGATGAAGGTGGAGAGGATGGGTTGTTGTGAGTGGAGGTAATTGCCTGACAGCTGTGGTTGCACAGCCAAGAAGTTGTGGGATCAACTGGCAGAGAAGAGGTGGCTGCATCTTGAAGTTATGTAGGCAAATCCTGATTTGCAGAAGTGAGCAGCAAGGTAACAGGCATCAACAGTTTCATTGTGAGTGTGACTGACAACCACAATTGCTCGTAGACATCTTACAGCTGTGGTCAAAGTGTCCAAGAGAAAAACTGGGATCAGGTCCGTTCTCTTCTCTGGTAGCCAGACATACAGCAATTATGATGAAATGTATGATTGGCTGTTATGCTATTAAGGCTCTTGATTAATCAAAATCTCAACTTTCTTCTCAGCTATGAGCTCCACGTGTATATGGCTTGTCCCCTGAACCTACAGCCAGCAGTGAAGGCTTGCAGTCCTGGCCCAACTGAGGTGAAGTATACAGGAAAAGGCCAGAGTGCCAACGTTTCCAACCTAGAGCCTTACACGACTTACAACTTGCGAGTTGTGTCTTACAACTCTGTTGGCAGCAGCGCCTCAGAATGGATTGGTTTCACTACGGACAAGGAGCGTGAGTATGAGAAATGGTTCACCGATCAGCAAAGCCTGCTTCTGATGCATGGGGCTGCATAGCGCCAAATGACTTCTCCACCTTGTGAAAGATGATGTCCCCAGAAACCTGCCCTTCTGTGTCCCTGGTCACTGTGCCTCTGCTGCCCCTTCATTGAAATTCTGTTCTGGGGCTTGACTGCTCATTCCTTCAAAAATATTTCTTTGCTCATCATCTGATATCACATCCTCTATCTTGAGAGCCTTGCAACCTTTGATTTTTATTGAAAATGGGCAGAAAAGCTGCAGTACATAAAATGTTCAAGTATAACCAGAAGGGTGATGTGTAATAATAAATATGCTGCCATAAATAATCCCTGGGAAAAGTGGAGATCTTGAAAGAGAACTGGTGATTCTTTTCAGGAGTAATCTTACTGTCCTAATTCATGCCACACATCTGCCAGGGCTCATGAGAGTTTTCCCTGGAATGATTGGATCCTTGATGACACTGAAGTAAGAATTTGTTTCTGTCTATCTAACCACCACAGGCAGTTCTTTAAGGCCATGTGGTGGTCTGCATGGAAATTAAACATGCAGGACCTGTGCCTACAGTCAGAATAGATTTTGCCATCAAAACTGAATTTGTAGTAGTCTAACATCAGCTTTTATTAAAAAAGATCTATAGTGCTGTAGCCAGAGTCATTCCGTAAGAGACAAGATGGGCATTTCACCTCAGCCTGCCAGGTCAGGGCAAAGAGGCTGTTCACTTTTTATCATATAGTCTCATGTCAGGATTTCAGAATCATCTTTCTAAAAAAATCCCTTTTGCATCACTTGGTAGTTCTGCCTAGTAATTACTAAAAATATATCTGCTACATCCTTAGCTGAAAATTTCAGGTGGAACAGCCACAGATTTTCTTTAATATCACCACTGAAAAAAAAAAGAAAAAGGTCCTTAGAAAAAGGTCCTTATCTCTCAAGCTGTGTGTTAATTGCAAACTAAAAAGCTGGAAGATGATAATGAACTTTTAAATGGAGAAAATTCATAAGGAACTGGTGAGACATACAGAAGGAAAGGGTTTTAAAACCATTTTTAAACCCCTGCCCACTGGGTCTGCAGCCCTCTTCTTTCAGTCTTGCTTTTCTTGCCTTGCTGACCTCTTCACACCGGGTCTTCTAAGTCCCTCTGAACATCCCCTTCCTCTTGCCTGGAAGACTTGCCTTAGTGACAGTGCACAGTTAGCAGCAAAGTGCAGCTGGACAAACAGCTTGCTTCTGAACAAACCAGCACATACTGGGCACGTGGTTTAATGGCAAAGCCACCAGACAGGACCACCTCAAACTTAAATGAAGCCTTTTGTCAGCAAGCTGTTGAGCCCAGCTGATGAACTCTTCCTCTCTGGAGTTCTGGGTTTCTTTTCTCTCTGCCTGCCATCTGCTCTTGCTTTCTGAAACCCCAAGTTGTCATCTATGTGTTAAAAGATGATCTTGGGCAATTTCTTGGGGCTTGCAAAAGAGTCCTCTCCACAGTTCGGTTCCCACAGCCCAGCGTGCTGCAGCTGAACTTGCACAACCTCCTGAGTCTCCCTGTCCTCCACCTTAAGCTGGACTTTAATCTATATATTTTTAGTGTCCGTACCACATACACAAAGGCAAAGGAAGGGAATTAGAGGTCTTTATTTTAAAGGTATGAGATATTTCTGCTTTCTCAGTGTAGAGGCTGGCACACTACAGCAGCTTTCGCTTTTCTCCTTTTATCTTCCCTACTCATACACATGTACATGAGAGAGAGAGGGAGTGAATGCGACAGAGAGCTCGTATCATGCAGAGTTTCTTTCTCTGCACTGTATAACTCAGTCATGCCTGTTGGCTAGAAATGAGCTTTTTTTTTTCTTCTTTTGCAGCACCTCGGTACACGGCTCCATTCTCCGTTGTCAGCAATTTGTCTACCATCCACATAGACTGGAGTCGCACTTTTGTACTGAACGGCCGCCTGAAGGAGTACGCATTAACTGAGAGCGGGCAACGCATCTACAGCGGCTTTGACACTGAGCTCTATTTACCAAGGACATCTGACAAAAGTGAGTTTCAATCTCCTATGGCTTTCTCTCTGTGAAAGACCATTGAGCTAAATTAATATTATTGTATGCTAAATTTAAGCCATCCCAAACTAAGAGCACAGGAGTGTACTACAGACACGGTGATGTGCGTCTAAGCAGATGCTTGAAACAAAAATCCCTGGAGCTAAGTTTCCTCTTAAACATTGTACCTGACTGGGTAAAGCTGCTCTGGCTCATTGTGAGGGTTGAGCTTTACCAAATCCTGGAGCTGCGTTGCAATTCCACCCTTCAGGGCTACACTCTGGGAAACGCGTGGAAATCTTCAGCTTCAGAAAAGGCTGGAGCCTGAATATTCATTTTAATCAAATTCAGTAGCTCTTGGAATCAGCCATGTTTTGAAATGCAGATTCTCTTTAGGTATTTGCAATCTTTAAAATACAAGGAAACTGTCAACAGGGGGAAAAAAAGAAAAAAAAAAAAAAAACATGAGAAAATGTTTTCAGTTTTTAAGGCATTGGGGGTTTTGTATGTTAAAGAATTTTATAATTATTTTTTACCCTCCTGATTACTGCAATAATACTAATACATTATTTTTTTTCTTACTCAAACATTGTTAACATGTTTGTATCAGCCATGAATGGAGTATGAGTGATTTAGGGCAAAATGATGAATAAATTGAAAGTTGCTGGTTACATGTCATTGGAAGAGGGAGGATTGGGTGGTGAAAGAGCAACATAACTTGTGGCAGCATCATAGTGGTGACTACCTATGATCTGCCATGGTTCATAGTTTAGAAGTTCAATACCCATGTATACAGGATTATGAAGCTCTGATCTGGGACCCAGGTGGGTTATGATGGGTTATGTGCTATGCCTGCCTGGGCTTTTCTCAGACCTGGTCGTCTCTGCTGGTGGATCATGATGAAAAAGCAGGATCTACAGAATTTTGATTTCTCCTGCTGACAGTATTTTCTAACCTTTTTTGCTCAGCCTTTTTGTTTCAAGTGACCTGCATCACTGATGAAGGGAGCGCCATGACACCGGTCATCAAGTACAGTGCTGGAGATGGAGTTGGTAAATATGTGAAAAAAATTACCTAGCACCTATTCATTTTATATGTTTGGGTAGAAAGGTGATATGTAGTGCATGCCAGACAGGATGGCATCTCATTGCAGGATCAGGGGATTCCTTAGTGCCTTGGGGTATGAGGTATGTAGGTAATGTGCCTTTTTTTGCCATGGATGGTTTTCTGTTCCTTTACATCATGATCAGCTTTGGATCCTCTCTGCAGACATGTAGTATTTTTCCTTTTATTTTTACCTAAAACTATATTGCTCCATTGCTGAATAGAATTTGCTCTCTTCCAGATTTCCAAATTAAGATTATCTTGAATTCTAATCCTGTCCTCCCACATTCCTCCTCAGTTTTACAATGAAAATACATATCCTCTCTTCCCATTGCATCCCTCCCACCCCACCAAGGGGCATCCACCGGCTCCTTTCATATGACCAACCATCCAGTCTCTGCAGTTTCACCTGGGAGGAGTTCCCCTCAAGTTTATGAGAACGTCATACGAGATGTTGTCAGGACCCAGTTTATAACACCCGCTGTTTCCCTTCTGTCCAGGAGGCCTTGGCCTGTTTTGTGGAAGCAAGGGAGTTTGGTGTGGTGGCATCCCAGTCACTGGCTGTCCATTGAGTAGTAGATGCCTACCAATAGAAAGTTTCAGATTTTTTTTTAACTCCTTAGTTTTCTGGGAAGCAAAGCTAAGCTTGAACCATTTCTGACATATTTATTCTAATTAATTTATTTCTTCATTGAGTTGCATCTTGGCGGGCTTCTTAAAATAGATTGGCCTTGGCCTTGCAATTAATCTTTACACTGCATTTCCCTTATATGCCTTGTCATGCCCTCATTCCATCCTCCTGCAGAATTTCAGGCCAGGCTGCTGTAAAGGCATTATAAAAATGTTCCCAGTTGCTCTACATCCATCACCTTCCACGCTCTGCTCCTTTGTTCTTTCGATTGCGGCATGTACCTAGAGTCTACTGCAAACTTGATCAGCACCGCAGGCAACTTGCAGTGGAGACTTGAAAGCGAAGGTGATGGAAATTCCTTGGCCAAGAGCTTGCATACACATGAAGGATTGCAAATAACCAGGGAATCCTGTCAGTGAGATTTCTTATGCTTGTGTTGTGTATGAGCAAAGCCAATCAAGTGGCTGCTTTTTCCTAACAGGTGGGGGAAGGAGGAATAAAATGTTTCATGTTGTTTGCTTTTGTATTAATTTATCACTCATTTCGGTTAAGTCTTCCTCCCTCTCTCTTTTTAACTGCACAGGCCTGCCACTACGCAGTGCTGGAGTGAATGTCCTCTGTCTGTACTGCTCTGAAATTACTGTAGTCATTTCCACTCTTCAAGGTTACTTGGAGAAGCCTTTTTTTCTCTCATTCCACCTCCACCGCCTCCTTTCTCAAGAGCTGCTGATGCAGTGGTGATTTCCAGCCTGAGCAGCAATGCCAGAACTTTAAGCAGGGTCTCTTGAGGGTAGTAAGCTTTTTATTATAGCCCACTAGCATATTGAACCATTATGCCACCTTGAACATAAGTGCAAATAAGCACATGATGACAAAATTACTTAAATTTCTGCCTAATTTATTAGCGAGGAAAGGGATAGCATATTGTTAAACGCTTTCTGAAATAACATTCCCATTCTCCCCTAATCCCTCTTGATTTTTACAGGTCTGATCTTGACAACACCTGGAGAGAAGGACAAAGCAGAGTCCAAACGTGCAAAATTCTACAACGAGTTGTGGTTTGCAGTGCTGATGGTAGTTCTAGGTTTGATCCTTTTGGCTATTCTTCTCTCCTTAATTCTTCAAAGGAAAGTCCGCAAGCAACCCTATGCACGAGACAGACCTCCTTTAGTTCCACTCCAGAAAAGAACATCACCAATGAGTGTGTACTCGTCAGGTGAAACCCATCCGGTACGTTTGGTAAAACGCAATGTTCTGCATCCATCGTGTTATATCTGCCCACGCACAGTTTTTCTTCCTCCTTACACCATTTGTTGCACTCTTGGTTACCAAATGAAAGCTATTCATTTGGTAGCGTATGAAAAGAACTGTCTGGTGTACGTATGAAGGCAGAGAGCCAGGCTACAGGGGCTTAGTCCAAAAAAGATCCCTATGGCACCTGGTCTGCAGGCCCTGAAATACTTCTGATGCCTTATGACAAACTTTAGATCTGAAAAACACAAAGCAACCGATGCCACCTGATGTTAGCTGATATCTGTAATAGAGCTGAAAAGGCCTTGGCATGCTGTGAGAAGGTAGGTGATAAAATGTGCTTTTCAGAGGAACCTGTCATGTTCCCAACTATTTGTGGTGGATGGCTAACCGAGATCAATCTGACACTCTTTGTTGGGTATCCATGAAATGTGCCTGCAAAAAGCAGGACTTAGGTAGAAGCTCTATTTCTTTCTGGTATCCACCCACCACCCAGCTGGACAGCTCTAGGACAGGCTGCGTGCCAGGAAGGTTTGGGGGAGAGCGAGACCAACCAGGGAAAAGCTGGGAACCTTCACAAAAATGTGTGTGTGCAACTGTGCACACAGAGCCACAGCAGGTCCACTGGACAGGTGGGAGGGGAACTGCTGGGGAATGATAAAGGGGAAGGCTTTGTTTCATTTTTATAATAACAAGTTATAATTCTGTAAAGAAAAACTGTCTAAAGAACATTCTACCGTGTAGCAGAGCAGTAGTGCTATCCTAGCCTTTGAGGAAAAGCAACACAAAAGGCGTAAGGTGCTTGTTACGAGACTGAGAATGGGAGCAGCAGGGCCCTCCCATGCCCAGGCACAGGCTATGAGATGATTCTTCTTGTCACTTCTCAGCTTCTTTTTCCTGTAAGCGCCATCAAGCAGGATAGTGACTCCTGCATCCTTCACGCATTCTGTTCCTTTTTGTCTCAGTGCCAAGAAGCTGCATCTGTGCCTCTACGAAGCAGCTCTTGGAAACAATGGGATTTCCAGTGTGCCCCTTCTCCTGGCAAAGGCTGAGCATAAGAAACTTCTTTTTTTGGTCTCATGGTTTTGATTCCTTTTCTTCTACAGTCTGTCATGTTGTGTTGTTCCTCTTGACTTTAAAATGTCTTTGCTGTTGGCGTGCCTGCACAATTCCTTTCCATGTTCCTGCCCCTTGGTTAGTTTTTTTTTTTTTCTTTTCTTCATGGACTTAATAGAAAGGAAGATTCTATAGTGCATCAGTGGTGGGACTTAATCTGAGAAGTTAGGCTAGAGCTACTATGAAGTGGCAAAATCATTTGTGTTTTACAATTGTTAGTGAGGTCATGCGGCAAGCAACGCTGGCTGCCCATGCAGTTCTTGATGACCAGTTAAAAGTTTAGTGCCTTATCTTTGCCAGTTCCCCTGGTCCCCTACATCCTGCTACATCGCTCCACTTCACTGAGCTCCATCTAATTCACACCCTCCGTGAGGAGCAGACCGCACCGGCATTGCACCTTGCCCTGCCCTAACGCTTTTCCTCCCTCTCTTTAATCCCAGTTTGAGACCATTGCTGACACGTCTGATTCATCAAGCAGTGTCACTCTCAAAAGTTACACAACACACTTTGAGGTAGAGTCGTTAACTTGCAGAGTTGCAAAATGTGTGATGTGCCAGACGACCCAAGGAGCATGCATGAAGGCATCTTACATTGCATGTTTCTCCTGGTGGGTGCATGATAATTTCTTCCTGGTCATGATAATTGAAAAACAAAGCCTGCTAACGTCCTCTTGGCTGTGCAAGTCTGGGCTATCATTCTGGTAGTCAAAAATATTTGGACCTCTGCCTGTTGGCTACTTCAAAAAAAAAAAAAAAAAATTAGGAGAATAAAGAAAAAAAAAAAGTCAGGTAAAGTCCTGTCTTACAAGGTTGGAGGGTTTTTTTCCTTTTAATTATATGATTTTCCTACAATGGGGAAAGGTCCGTTTTTTTTTTTTTCTTCTGTTTATAATTGTGCCTGATTTTTGAAGCATGGGTTTCTCTTCTGTTCCACTCCTGCTTTGGTTTTGTTTAGATAAAGTGTCTGATTACCATGCCCTTTATTTTTGATTTATTAGTGTGTCTTCCTCACAGGGGCTGGCAGATACGAAAATTCCAGGAGCTGGGTCTCCCATGAGCAACTGCAGTGTCCGTATCGCATCTGGGGCAAGAAGACCAAGTCAGAGCCAGCTACATCGCACATATTCCCAAGCCTCTCTTCATCGTAGTGTCAGCCAGCTGCTCGACCTCTACGACAAAAAATCTCTTGTTGAAGAAGTGCCTTGGGATGCCATTATTCGCAATCATCGCAATACTGGTCGTGGCTTGGTAAGGACTCCTGGTCCTCTGCAATGCTGTTGTGTGTCAACTTCTAGTGATTTGTCTGTTCTGTTAGAATCATTAAAAGGCCTAAATATCAAAAGCTGCTGGAGATACAGCCAAAAGACCTAGAAGGATATGGTCAGAGATCAGATTGTCAAAATTGTTCCTGCCTACTGCTCTTCTGGAGCTGCAGGTGATCACACGCTGCTCTTATAGGATGTGAGGGGTCCACATGCATCTGCTTGTCATTTCCACTGAACCAATAACTCCATGGTCTGCCAAGGATATGCACCTTGAAGCATGCCCATCTGTTTGGTCAACTCATAGGCTTAGGTCTTCCATGCCTTTCAGCAAACATACACATATGAGGAGGGGTGTCCTGGCATCCTTCACCCATTCAGTGCCAGAAGCAGGAGCTTGTGTTCTAGTGACTCCTGTTCTGTGACCCTGGGCTCAATTGCTGACAGGACCTGCTCTCTGTCCTCTGCTCAGTCACGACACAGAGATCATGTCACTGCTCAGATCTTCTGGCATTTGTGACAAATGACTTCAAACTCTGCCCACACAGGACTGGAAGTTGAAGGGGGCAGAGTCTTTTAACATGGGAGGGGACGGGATTGGCCAGAGTCACTAACATGGACCTGAACACATAGCTATGAGAAGTTACAATTCTCAAGTCAGGGACAGTGGCAACTTTCCCTCCTATTTGTCACCAGGAGACAGGCTTTTTAATCTCCACTCGCTCCTACCAGCTTCCACCCTTCCCTGAGCAAGCGTGTGGGAAGGGGTTTGGGGGCAGCAAGATGTGTTTGCTACCAGAAAGAGCTGACTAAGAAGGTTCCTAAAAAGAGGACAGATGGGGGTGAGGGCACAGGAGATAGTAAGAGAGTGGGCGGTTGTCACTGAGCGTATCTTGTACAAAACACAAAGTGAATTGCAGAAGGATGGTCTAGCACATGAATTGGGCAGGGTCCTTGGGCTTTCACATTCACTACACCAAACAGCTGCAAGGGCTGGAACGTATAGGCATGCCACAGTACAGGGGTGTTGCTACCACTGCTGCCATACCTGCTTAGACTGTAACAGCAGCACCAAGGAAGATGATAAGGCTTAAGAACATCACAACACTTAGCACTAGGCAACACCCCTATAGGTACCAGTTAACCTTCCAGTCTGTGTTGATCCTGAGCGAGGGGTGCTGTGACTCAGCCTTGACTAATTTTCTCAGAGCTGTCACAGTCTCATGATTTAATTCCTTGGGGACGAACAGCCCACCTAGAGTGTACCGCTGTATGATCTCATTAGCCAAAAAACCAGCTTCCTGATGCTAAAAGAGGAAGCTCTTGCTCTCACCTGCTCATCTTATGCTAACATCCTTATTTGGTTTAGCTTGCAAACCCCCATACACATCCTTGCTTGATGATGGCACACTAGAACTGGCTTACAGAATAGTCCAATGAGTTTCAGAAGTGGTAGTGGGTAGGAGCAGAACAAAAATTTCCACTCACTTTTGGTGATAAACAACCCTGACAGCACAAGCTCAGCTGCTTTTTAGAATCAGCCGCTGTATATATGAAGCTGGGCTCTTCTGTCCACCCTCTGTACGTTTGCTCCACATTTCCCTGAACCTAACTGCCTCTGAGGCCATGTTGCTCAGCTAGTTTTGCAAACAAACCTCCTGCAACACTCTTTACTCAGCTCTTCCCTTTATTACACCATTTTTTTAGGGGGTGAGGAGAAAGAAATGAAGGAACAGGATCACCTTTAGTCTGGTACATCTTCAGCTCACATGCTTTTCCCCCTCCTCCCCCCTACAGTATGTAGATGAAGAAGATCTTGTCAATGTCATCAAAGGCTTCAGCACAGTCACCAAGGAGCACACCACGTTCACCGACACCCACCTCTGAAGACCAGCACCATCTTCTCTAGAAAATGGAAAGTGGGTAACTTGCCAAAAGCATCCTGCATGGACTTTGGGGGAGGGGATAGGGCTGCTGTTTCCCACCCCATGCCCACTGGTTATGGGAGGGGATATGGGGGATAAGTTGGCCTTTTTTCACCTTCTCTTTAACTGTATAGTAAAAACTGTATGTTAGCACTGACATCTCAAAGGTAAGAGAACAGTTTGAAAAGCCCTAAGTCATACTGTAGTAGAAGACTGTGAAGGTAGAGGGTCTCATCTTTATCCAGCTCTTACAGTTCAGGAGGGTTGGGGGGGCATGGTGTGGCATGTTTGGTAAGGAAAATAATTTACCTGTCCAAAAACCAGTATGTGGCTGAAAGGGGCTTTCCTGGCAGGATAGCCACATCTTTTCCTGGCCTGACAAAGCTCCTCCACAAAATTGTGTTCATGCACAGGTGAATAAACAGCAAATGAAGAAATTCTTACGGAGTCGCTTTAACTTTTGCATCCTCTCCCTCCCTCTTCCCCACCCTCTCAGCTCAGATCTAAAAAAAAAAAAAAAAAGCCATTAATTAATGCTTAACTCCAAGCATGCTTTTTCAGATGTAGAAAACCTCCTTAACCCACTCCCTATTAAACACTTGCTGTCACAGCCTTCCTTTTTGTTTATGTATTACTAATCTACACGCAATAAAATTTGTCCACCACCCACAGTAAACTAGGAGCAAACAGCAAGCAGCCAGTGCAACACAGGTAGGAAATACCATGTCAAGGCACTTGTAATTGAGAATTTTTATACCATGACAGTAAACCTACTCCCATATTCATCTCTGTCCTTTTTACAGAGAAAAGGAAGCCCTCGAGAGACTGCCAGTTCTGTGTATTCCGCCGAGCATATTTTTATGCATGCTCAGTCACAATCAGCAAAACCCATCATCCAACACCACACATTTTCAGAAAGCACAAGCAACACTCCTCTGACAATTTATTTGGACTAAGAGGCAAAATAATATGCTATTTTGAATAGCTTCCTCCTTAACCTGCACAAAACATTTCAGATTTCAGACAGCAGCATACAGAGCAAGGCTCCCATTCATAAAACAAGACTACAGAGACAGTCCTGCAAATTAGGCAAAATCCAGCCAAGACAGCAGCAGCTCTGCAGAGCAATGCGTGGCTGCGTCTAAAAGGCTTCTTCCACTGAGCAACCACATATTCCTTTAGCACCCTCCCTTCCCCCAAGACAAAAATAATCACAACATATCGCATGCCTGACCACGTTTACGCAAGAATGCACAACAATATTTTGGACCAAGTACCGTACTACAATTTGTAGCATTACATAAAGCCACACGTTGAGGTGGAGGACTCTTCAGAGGTTTTGCAGCAGCAGCCAGGTACTTTCTCATAACCTTACAATTTTCATTTCGAGTATCAGAACAAAGTCCCATTCAAGAAACAACCCACAACACGTAATGTTATGCCTGCTACCAGCCACAGGGCATCTGCATCTCATCTGTGCTGCCAGTCACATTTTTCCAAAAGCCATAGTCTTGGCAGGACGAGTCATTCTTCCGGTGACGTGGTGAAGCAGCTGTCTTGGTAGGCGATGGAGAAGCTGCACCAGGTAATTCAGGCCCACCTTCGGCAAGGACTGGCGCAGAGGGCAGGAGAGGCACTTTCTTCCTTCCCAGGAAACCAGCTCCTTCAAACCCCATTTTCTTTTTGCTTTCTGCTTTGGCTTCACTCTCCTCTTCTGGTCCTCTTCTTTTGAGATCCAGAGAACTCTCTGGCACACGGTGAACCTCTGTACTGCAACACGCACCTGCATCTGTCACACCCGTGCCTCGCACTTCAAGTGCCGTTGTCAGGACTGCCTTCCGCTCGGCTACACTGCCCTCAGCTGTTGCCTTCCTGGCTTCTGTCTGGCTTGAATTCCCATTTGCAGCAGCTGCCTTTTCTGTTGGGCTTTTGCTGGATAAGTTAAAACCCTGGAAGTCCCGGTAACTGTGAAAGCTCTCCGTCCGCCTTGCTCTTGCCAATAAGGGGCTTTCTCTGTATGGCCGCACGGAGCCATACGTGGCTGTTTCATGGATTGTTTCATGGTGCTGCAGTTGGAGGCTTCAAAACAGAAGACCAACAACCAAGGACAAGAAGAGCAGATGTTAGGCTGAGAATAGCAGCTGGTTCTTCTGCATGCCCTGCTCCCACCCACCTCTGCAACTCCTACTAAAATAGCAACATACTAATCACAACCCCCATACAAGGGCTTCCAGATCACCCGCTTCAAATTCTCATAGGGCACTTTAATCCACGCACATATAAGCCAAGAGAAATTGAGGTGTATGTAAGTATAGTTCAAGACACTCAGGGCATGGATTCAGGGGCTCAGCTACAGCATTCAGGTGCCCAAACCCCTCTTCGCCCACCTGAAGGCTAAAACCTTTGGTGTCTACAGCAGGTGCCGCCCTTGCTCACCTACCTGGAATTAGATTCCCGAAGCCGGTTTGGTTGAACTACTGAGGTGGCAGGACTGATGTTGGGTGTGGCACAGCGAGACGTACTCAAGTCACACTGGTCAAGCAACTTGAGCAGCTCTTCCTCTGTGGGGCCACCAACATCTGAAAGAGACAGCTATTAGTGCCCAAATCCATTTACCATAGTCATGCACATGTGAGAACAGAAAAAGAACCACATCACAGTCCTGGCATAACGCAACTTACCTTTGTCCTCACTCTTATTAACCATGTCCATAGCTGTGGTCAGGTCCCACATCTGGATGCTGCCATTTGAATGTCCAGTGAAGAGGTAGCGGCGTGGCCGGGAGCCCATTCTGCTGGATCCTTCACATTCTCGTACAGTAAATGATGAGATGGTAGTACAGTCAACTGCCTGGATCTCACAGATCCTACATGAAGAGAAACCCCAAGTTACCAAAACAATTGAACCTGGCAGTTTGGCTAATAATCAGTACTGTTTTGATTTTCTGAGAAGGCACCAAACTTCCCATCAGAAAAAGAGCTTTCTTCCAGACAAAATTCCTTCCCCTGCAGACCGGCATGCTGCTCAGCTGCTGACAGTACCTTCCCCCCAATCCATCTGCAGTCTTACTGCTTTTTTAATAGGGAATCCCTATATGTTCGATGTCCATTTTCAGTTTGTAATGATTAGAAATGTAAGGCTCTCGCAAGAATGACAGGAACCAGTTCCTTCATATGCTAGACACTCTAGGAAACTAACCTGCAGAACGAGCACATTTAACCATATAAAAGATATGCAAAAAAATCCAAGGAGGATAAATCCAAGGTTAACTATACAGATAACTTTTGCCTTACGACAACTGCAATATCACTTGACATGGCAGATCTCCATTGCTTTTTTCCCTTTATTTTAGAAGCTTATGTGGGGAGTGAGAGGAAAAGGACTCCCTAAACTAAGCTGCTAAGCCAGACTCCACACCAGAACCTCACATATTTTGGATAATTTCTTTTACTGGCCCCTTGTATTGAGCTTTTTACCCAAGAAGTGCCAAAATAAGTCATCTGATAAAACTCTCCACTACATATAAAACTAGCCTGAAGTAAGGGCGGGGGGGGGCGCGGCAAGGTGCACATCAGTAATCTGCAGGGCTTCTGTCCTCAATTCAGATGCCAATAGTGTTAAGGCATCAATGTTTTCACCCAGATTCAAAGTTATTAGGCAAGAGATGCAAGAATAATAAGAAGCATAGAATTGAGATGCACTATCTTTTCTGATCTCTTGCCATCCTACTAGCCTAACAGGAAGAAAAGCAGCTGTGGTTATTTGGCAACTTTTTTACTACATTGGCAGCAACGTAGTAGAACATTATGAAGTCAAGTCTAAGAAAATAATTGTATAGCTGATCTAGAAGACAGTCTCTCAGTTTTAAAGGTTCTAATATCTTCAAAGACAAATGCAAAGGAAGCGAAGCAGTTTTTCTCTGTCTACCTTTCTGAGCAGCATAATCCCTGCCACCAACAACTTCAGCATTAGTTTTGAAATTTAATGTTAGCATGGTACCATGGCTGCGTTACAGATTCTGTAGAGGCACACAAATGTTTGTTTTGTGAGCTCAGCAGGTGAACCATAATGAAGTGAGTCTCTGATACCACATTTTTCAAAATGCAATTTTGGTTTCTAGGTTATAGTAGATTATTAAGTACAGTTCTGTTACTAACACACAAACTAGAACTCAGCCAGAGCTTTCAAGCACATTAGAAGCTTGCTAAGTGCAACTGCATGCATCCCCAAGGGATGGGAGACCACATCACTCAAACAGTCCTGCTCCTTTCGTGCTTAAAACCCTAAACATGGAGGTACCTTTTCCCAGTTGAAGACAGTCTTACAAATAGCTTATTAGTGATGGGAACAACTTTTTGGATAAACACCTGTTGATCATCACGTTCACCAAAGGGTCCTAGAGAAAGAAAGAAAGAAAGATCACTTGTTTAATTCCCTCACCCTCTTCCCCACACAGTCCTGAAGACCCAATTTTAGTATATTAGTATGACCACTGCAATTTTAAAGCATCAAGACCAGGGACCCAAAGATGACTAACAGAAAAAGCCACCAATAGTTAGAAACCTCTACAGATAGAAATCTTTTTTGTTCTTTTGTTTTAAAGGACACCCATTCTTGAGTTTCCTGCATGTTCCTGGAGGAATTACTATGTCAGCACAAACCCTACATCAGGCCTCTATAACAACAATAAGTACTTTCTTATTTTGCAGCTCCTAGATGTCCAAAGGCTTAATCAGATTTCTTGCCATAGTACTGACCCCACCCTGTGTTCCCAGGGCACCTATTCATCAAAGGTTCTTTTGCAAAACTCTGACCACAAAGGAATCCAGACTACCTGGCTACCCACGTTTACCGACATGCATTCCTTCAGTATCTTGCAACAGCAATGCGCTGGCACCATTTGTCCGTGCAGTTTCAAAGCTTCAGTAAACTTTGTCACAACTTCAAATTCATTTAAGAATT